CAAGATTGCAAGTTGGATGTCTGCCATGGTTCAGGGCTATGCTAGTTCTGGCAGAACTTTTAGAATAATTCTTTTTAGCAGTATTTTAAGAGGGCAACTATAAAACTAGATACAGGCTTAGCACAGGTTGACATCAGCAATCCAACAGCCACATCCAAGGGAAAAGACAAGGAACAATATGAGGTGGACTCCAGAGTTCTTCACACAACCCAACAAATTGAACTAAGTCTTGAAAAATTGTTTTAGCTTCTGCTCCCAATAAATCAGCTGGGCTGAATCTCCACCCAATGCATAACTGTGGCAGTTTCTCTTCAGTGGGCTCATTTTTTGGCATGTCTCCTCTTGGAAGATCTCACACAAGTTTTTCTTATTGTTTAAACTTTCTTAGACCTCTGCTTAATAATGGGAAGTTGGATTTCAGAGCTAGAGTAGGTGCAGGTAAGGCATTGTGGGAGATCGCTGGAATTGTTTCAGCCAGAGTGGTGTCACTAGTTACACCATTACTGGAATCACCTCCACCATTATCCCTAAATAATCCTGATTCTTCCTCCGTTTTCATCAGAATATAGGTCTAGCAGTGCTGTAATCCTGGCATTCTTCTGTTCTGAAGAACAACTTGTAATTATTATTACCTAAGTTTTATTTCTGTATAATAGTACCATAGGATGCATAAGTGGCACACTAATGAAATCCTAACAGAGCAGGTGCATACAGAACCTCTTGGGGTGCAGTTCTAAGCCTCTTTATCTTGTAGTGCACATTTTTCATAGTAAGAATAAGTTCCTCACCTATCTTGGGGTCAGTCAATTTTAACTGGTTGACTGATACAATATTCCCCAATCCCTCAAAAGCCTTAAATCTGCTGTCTATCTCAATTTATTATTCTTTTAAAAAGTATTTTCATTTTGCAAAGAAAAAAGAAAAGTGAGAAACAGACTTGCCTCAGTCATTTATGCTGAAGGTATGAATTATATTAAAGGACCTTTCTCCCCTTTTGTACTTTTAACATTAGAACTTTTGGTGATTCAAATGTGTCAATAATACAGAATATGAAGAATTAAACTAGTTTCACAAGAGCATAAATTGAAATTATTTGCTGGTGATATAGTATTAATATGATTAAATTGATATAAAATTTCAATATGCAGTTATAGAGATTGAACACTCAAAATTTCAAGGAAAAAAGCATCATTGTTAAAATGAGGGCTCCTTTACTGTGAAATTAATTTTGATGGTGTTAACCAGATATATTTTTACAATTCAATAAAAAAATCTCTTGATCAAAAATTGGATATGAATTATCTAATATTATCTTCAAATATTACATAAAACATTAAAAAAGAAAACATTAAAGTTTAAAACATTAATTTTAAAGATAAGTTTAAAAGAAGAAAGTATAATTTCAAAAATTTAGGGAAATAATTTTCCTGTCCTTTCAGTTTTGAACTTCTCAAATCAGGAGAAATTTTTTTTTAATACAAAAATTATTTTTTAAAATGTCATTTAAATTGCTGAATCATGTTAAGGAAAAAAATGCAAATTAACTACAATGTTGTGTATGTAGAATGTTGTGTATGTGCGTGTATATATCATAAACAGTAACTGATTATTGAACATAACATCACTGAAATCCATGAATGTGACATATCTGAAATCCATGAACAGTTTTTTTCATACCAGTTTCAAGAGTAATCTCCAGAAGTGGTAGTACGAATAATAACAGTAGCAATAACTTTGTTAGGAATAAAGGTTTAATTTTTCAGGTTTCAAATGAATATGCAAAATGTCTCAGGACAATTTCAAATATTTTCATTACATGCTTGGACCCAGCTTTAAATCACATATAAAGATTTCCAATCAGCAGCAATTAGTACATGCCAATGAATGTGGGTAAAACTAAGCATTTCCAACCAATAAACTACACAATAGGAATTTATTTCACTGTATTAAGGATATGCTGATACAGCTTTTCAGTGAATGCTCCTGATGAAAACTTTTCCAAAACTCTGATTCTTCCAGCAACTCCCATTGTCCTCTTTAAATTAGGATCTTTTATAAATTTCTCCATGGCTTCTGAAAACTGGGTTGGAAGAGGATTGCACAGAAAACCTGTCTGATTGTTTACAACTGATTCCACAGGTCCTCCTGAATTTACAGCAATAACTGGGCACTTCATGTACATAGCTTCTAAGGGAACTATACCAAAGTGTTCATTACTTGGTGTGTATAGGACACATATGGAATTACTAAGAAGAGCTACTTTCTGCTCATCAGAGAATGATCGCAGAAATGTGATATGCTCTTCAACCTGAAGTTTGGTAGCGAGTGCTTTTAATTCAGCAAAATATTCCACATTTTCATTAACATCCTCATCATAACCACCAGCTAAAACCAGATGAACTTCACTCCAGCTTTGAGTATCAAGTCTACCACGAAGATCATGTAATGATTTCAAAGCCAAAACTAAATTTTTCTTTCTTTCATATCTATTGATGGAAAGAAACAAGAATTTCTTGTTTCCATTAGGAACTATATTAGCAATATTTGCAGAAATAGCAGTATCAAAAATATTGACATTCAAAGAGGGATAAAGGACCTCTGGATTCATGTGACACAAGGATTTGAAGGTGCGTTTGAAAATATTTGCTGTGAAGTAACTATTGACAAGAATACAATCAGCCATGCCAGTTGTATATTCTTCTAACCAATCTAGTGGAGCTCTGTAGATGCGTTTAAGCAATGATTTCCTCTTAGTTAAAAGTTGATCAGGAAAGTGACAGTAGAACAAAATCTTTTTATGGCTCCGAGCTAGACGTAGTATTGGAATGCATGCAGATACCTAGAAGAAGAAGAAAAAAGTGGAAAAAAGTGTATTATGATGAAAGTTAATGTGTTAAAAAAATAATTAAGATTTTGTATTTAGTGCTGCATTTTCTTATGTTAAATTTTCAAAAGATTTCCATTTTGATCATCTTCTCAGTGATATTTAATTCAAAATTGTTATTATTCATTTATTTTTCTCAAGAATGCCAGCTAATATTAGCAATCCAAAGAATATAATTTTTTCGGTAATTTGTTGTTTCTGAAGTGAGAGAAAATCTCAGCTAGTCTCCTTTGTTTATTTGAGACATATCATTTATCTAAATAACACCTCCCCCCAAGCATTTATTGTCTAATGTTGATATACCAACATATCAATTTTGGAGAAAATTCTGCATAAGATGCAAGTGGCCAATATTCTGGTATGATGCATGTGGCAATATCTGAGAACCATTCTTCCCCTCAGTTGAAAAAAGTATATTTTATGAAATGAAGGATAGAAAGAATCTTCTTGGTTATTTTATACTCCATGATTGAGCAATTGTTTTTTTAGGGCCTAGTAAAATACCTCAAAGATCAGGGATGTATTGAATTACTTTTGAAAGTAATTGTCCCATCCTGGATGCCCAATTAGGTATTCCTTTCCAAAAAGATAAAAATGATTTATAGACACATCTCCTCACAGATATACCCAGAGAGATAGTTTTTTTTTTTTTTAAAAAAAAAAGACAGTTTAAAAGTAGCTAGTTCTATAATACTGAATAGGCTTTAATCAAGAGAAAATACTCTCTTAACAATTTTACCTCTGCTATGGTGACATATTTGACACAATACAGTAAGGTATAGAATTATACAATCATCACCTATCAGCAAATTAAAATTGTATGGGCCACTGACTATAGAACGACAATAGGATTTTGAACACCATACTTTAACAAGGAACCAAACTGGAAAAAGACCAATCAATGGCAACTTGAATATCAGGGGAAGGAAAGAGTGAGAGAACTTTTGAAAAAAAAAAAAGAGTATGGATAGATCACTTATAAAATATCTGAACAGATATCAAGCTATGGAGGCTATAATAGGCTCTTAAATATATGAAGATGCAAAACATGGAATAATATTCTAAAATAATATATTATATTGTAATAATGTAATATTTTCTAGATCCTCCAGGAATGAACAGCAGTCTCACATTGCAGGTGAAGCTAAAAAAACAAATATTCAAAAGCATACCACTTCCTTAAATGGGTGACATTCTCTTAACGTGGAATATGAATAGTTCTAAAATAGTAAACATAAAATTGTTTACAATGTGAGAGAGGAAGGGCGGTAGGCCCGCGTTACATTTGACTGGCCTAAGAAGTCAAAATAGAAAAATAAATACCTGTTCCTTGCGCTCTCTTAAATACTGATCTTAATTACAGAGAATTATCGGGAGAAAAGGGCATAGAAATAATTGTGTGGCCTTTTAAATATATCGTGACTTGGTGCGTATTTAAAGATTTTCTATAAAATCGGTATTTTCAGAATGTAATGTTAGGGGGAAAATAAGTTTAGGAACAGGCTATCCGAGCGCTCAACACACCTGGTCACAAACAAAGACATCAAACTCCTCTCCACTAAGCAGCAGCACGTGCAAAGCCAGCCATATCATGCGTAGTACGGCACAGAGCGCGTGGCCTCTTCCGAAAATGTTTCGCGGCAACCAGTCGCCCGCTATTCTTATGTCTAGTTGAACCGTTTCGGAGAAGCACCGCGAGGAATCATAGCGCGGGGTCCAAATTTGCACGCGACAGCCTCGTGCGCGGAGAGCTAGAGCTGCATCTATTATCAGCCTCTCTGCCCCACCGATGCCGAGATCTGGGTGCAGAAAAAAAACGGACGGTCCCTTTTGCTGCTCCTCATTTGTTTTAAGCTCCGGAGCGGCCATGATGACGTCCGTTGCTTCAAGTTTCCGCAGTACAGGGCATGGCTACAACAAACATATCCGGATCATTCAAATAGCCAACTCAGCTTTAGGTTTTTTCCTCTGAAATAGAGCCTAAAGCACTGCCTGCTCCTTTTCACTTTCACACAATATAATTAGGAAGGAACTGTCAGGAATAAATTAAAATTTAGCTTAACTGCTTTTGTTGAAAGAAAGAAAGGTTGATCTAGTCGGATTATTTTCTTGGTTATGAGAAGAATTCCAGTCGGGCAGTGAAGTAGTCTCCTGATTCGAAAGGGGACCTGTTGCGTCAAAAGAAACCAGGTCCTCTCTTCAGACGGAGACGTGTCCTGTGAATTCAAGGGGTTTGTGCTGTGTGTGGAACCTTTGCTATGGTAAGCGAAAGGAACAACAAAAGGATGGTTTGTAACGAGACATTGGGTATGCGTATATATCTAAGAATCTACATTTAATTATCTTTCTTTAATTTTCAGCCGGGTCCCAATCCTAGCGCCACCAGTGTGGGTGCCTCTAGTCGCTCCCCTAGCAAAGCAGTAGCCCCACGTGCGACGGGATCCACAGTGCGACAGAGGTAGGAAGATAAAGAGTTTATTGATCGTTAAATTAATAGCGGTGCTGTAATAGAAACGACTCATAATGGATCACTACTTACTTTTCATTCGTTTTAAATTACAGTTACGTAAGTGCATATATAAAGTACAGCCCACTGTACAGTCACCAGAACTAGGCAATAAACATCCGAACGAACTATAGATAATAGCAAAGAATTGCACTTTTCGATAACTCTGATGCCATTAATGATCGACTGGATTTTAAGTGCCAGAAAGATTATCATGGAAAGTGGAGAAACTATTCATTGTTTCATTTATTTCCATATCAACGGGATATTTCCTTGTAGTTATATCTCTAATAATTTAAGTTGGAGAGATTTAGAAACTACAGTCTTTGTTTGTAAACATCTCTAACACTTAACTTTCTGCTGTGCATATCATAGTTTTGGTGTACATCACTTTGATATAATGATTGAGGTATTGACCTAGAAACCAGGAGACTATGAGTTGTAGTCCCATCTTAGGCAGAAAAATAGTTGGGTGACTTTCGGCCAGTCTCTTTCTCTCAGCCTCACTCACTTCACAGGGTTGTTTTGGGGGAGGAATATCACACATGTTCACTGCCTTGAATTACTTATAAAATAAAAGCGGAATAAAAGAAAAATGTAAATAATAAGTGACTAGAAGATAGAAATGGTAGATCTGAATTTCTCTTAAAACTGCTGAAGTATAATTCCCATTAATTACTAGCATGATCAGTGAGGAACTATGCTATGAATTGTAGTTCAATAAGGCAGTTTTCCTATCTAGGTTTGATACAAGGCAGTGCTTCGTAAAATCTTGTAATTGTGTTTTTTCAGTTATAAAATTGATACAAAAGCAAAGCATGTAGTGTATATAAAAGTTGCATGCTTGGTTACTCTTGATATATTTTAATTTTTGGTTTTGTTTGTAGGAAAAATGCGAGCTGTGGAACAAGGAATGCAGGTCGTTCAACTTCTGCTGGTACTGGAGGAATGTGGAGATTTTACACAGAGGATTCCCCTGGTCTCAAAGTGTAAGTAAAAATATAAAGGCAATAATTTATTAGTATTTCTTGTAAATCTACTTCAAAAGTAATTAGATTTGTAACCAGAATTTTTTGTAGTATGGTTTTAGGTGCTTTGATTTTTCTCACAATCATCAAATTTCACATTACTACATAAGGTATTGGAGTAGTGGTTGTGCTTGTTCCCAGAAGCATGAATTGTGCACATTATTCTGCTTTTGTCTTTATGGTAGTGAATTAATTTTCAATTAATGTAGTGAATAACATAGGGAAGTATTGACAAGGGAGATTAACATGTAATTTTTTTTCTGAACTTTTGGTTTCACAATTCATAGTATTTTTCTGGCTCATTTCTTCAGGATAAGATGGGAATACAGTATTATGATAGTTCCACAACTTTCTGAGGTTTACCTTTGCATACTTATATCTGATATTTACCCCTTGTCTTTAAGATCATATAAACCAGAGGTCCCCAACCTTTTGGGCAACAGGGACCGGTTCCGTGGAAAGAAGTTTTTCCACGGACCGGAGGGTGCGTGGTTTTGTGTGCTGCCTGCATCTCATGGATAGGGCTTTGCTTCTTTTTGCGGCCCGGTTGCTGGCATGTCATGGCCCGGTACTGGTCCATGGACCGCGGGTTGGGGACCCCTAATATAAACCACTTAGAGAATTTTTTTCATGCAGTGCATACTTACTATGAAGTACTACTAAATAATTATTTACCCAGTTGTTTTAAAGCACTCATATCTAAGGATATACAGTATTTGGATTCAAAGGACCATTTGCTGCTTCAGACCCAACTACTTCACACCACTACTCATATCCAAGTATGTGGTAATTTTGTAATGATTGCAGGAAACTTAAGTTCTGAATAAAGTATTTTTTTCTTTTATTTTTTATGAATTGCTAGAAAATTTGTATTTCAACTATTTTCTCCCCTATTAAATAATCAAAAACTAAATATAAAAGTAGATATCCAGAATGCATTGATTGTAACTCTTTAATCATTAATAAATAAATACATACATAAATAGACATACTTGTTTTGGTGCAGTTTATGGTCTTTACTTAAGAGTAGTACTAAGTAATGTTTATATTAAATAGTAAGGCTTCTCTGTAAACATGCATTGCATTTTTTAAAAAAAATTATAGAGGAAAAAAAATGTCTTTCTCATGGCTTCAGACTTCCACAAATTTAATTCCCCTAGATGGCATGCAGCTACTTCTCTATTCCATTAACTAATCCCAGAAATTAGTCAAATATTCCAGCAAATGTTTATTGATAGTCAGAATAGGTCAAGGATTTATTAATTTTATTTAGATATAAAATTTATCTGATTACTTGACCAGTCTCTAGTAGTTTACAGAATATATGTATTTAAAACTAGGTACAGAATGAAAATACAATGACCAAAATAGTAACAAGGAATAGTATGCTAAAACATAAATCAAGTAATATTCAGAGGAATCTTACAGACTTGAGCATTGGGCTCTAGCCACCAAGATGCAGGTCAGAAGTGAGAAAAATAAGAATCTTCACTTAGGAAAAATTAAATGCATGGGTATAAAATATATGGTTATCTGGTTCAACAGTAGTAATTGTGAAAGTGGACCATCACTAAAGTATGAGCCAGCAGTGTGCTGTGGCGGCCAAAAATGGTGATAGAACAATAACTAGTGGAACAGCTTGCCTCCAGAAATTGTGAGTGTTCCCATCACTGAAGGTTTCCAAGAAAAGATTGGACAATCATTTGTCCAGGATGGTATGAGGTCTCCTGCCTTGGGCAGGAGATTGTACTAGAACAGTGGTTCTTAACCTTTTTGAACGAATCGCCCCCTTGAGCCAATGAGGAAGTTGTCATCGCCCCCCTCCCCCAACATAACCTCTCAATCACAACTTTGCAATACTGCAGACCTCTTAAAATGTGAAATGAATTTATATAAACTTTCATTTCTCTCCCCCAGAATAAAGTTAATAATTTTGTGGATGTGAGAGCTGGGCAAGGTTTGAATATTCAGAGACTTTTAATAATTACATTTTAATCTATATATCACAGGGTAGTCAAGCTACGTAGAACCACAACTGCTAGCTTGAAATGAGTGAAAATGAGAGATTTTCAGGGGGAGTGCTGGCTGTGTTTTCACTGTGCCTTTAGAGCAGACTGGGTGGGTGGTCAAATCTTTCCCTCCCTTC